TAATAATAATAATAATAATAATATATTTTTTTAAATTTTTAATCGAACATATTTTATTGATAACAATGCTAACTACTAAAATCCTATTTACAATTAATTCACTTAAAAAAAATTATTTCGTCAAAACACTATTTACAATTCCTTTCGTTAAAAAAACCACTTAGTTTTGATTAGAATATAATACTAATAGTAATAATGATAATAATAATAATAATAATTATAAAATAATTATAATAATTATAATAATAAAAATGAAATGATGAAATTAAAAGGTTGAGACATACCAAGATCTGAAGAGGGAGATTAGAAAATTATGGGGTATTTGACGGGTGGAGGTGGTACCGGTAGTGGTTGATACACTCGGTGCAGTAAGCAAAAGATTCGATACATGGCTTTACAAGCTGGGGATTACCATTAATACGGGTTTGCTGCAGAAAACAGCTAAGTTGGGAACAGCAAGGATCTTAAGGAAGGTATCGGAAAGTTGAAGGAGGAGAACTAACCCAAGGGACCTTTTGGCCTTTGGTTATGACTCGCTCCCTTGGTGTAATATCGGTACATTGCATTCACCAGAGCTAAAGCATTTCGTTAACAATAATAATAACCACGTAATATTTGATAGGGAACCTGCTCGGTATCCATTACATACCTTCCTCTTCACACTTCAGATTGTTGCTTACATCTCCGTTTTCGCTTTCAAATGAGCAAACACTTGCTTCTGTTAGCTCTAGCCTCAGGTTTGCCTCCATCCTTGGCTCGTTTTCGCTTTTACCATAATCAACCATATTTTGTGAGATAAAAACAAATCCAGAAATAGACTGTTCAAGAGTTGTGTGGTCTGACTGAATCAACGCTGTTCACGGGAATCTGGCAAATCTGGAAATGATCCGAAACTCGCCTCGACGCCGAGATGCTTGATTAAAAATCCGAGATTGTGCAACAACGTTCACAACGTTCATGAAACTTTTTCAAGAGGCTATCATTTTATGCCCATCCTTAACCCTAAGATGCGTCAACCATTTGCGTCACAAATCAACGCATTTGAGACCTCATATCGTCATCAGGGATTCTAATGCATTCCAATTAGCCAGTGTTAGAATCGCTTAGAATGCATGTTATTTCTAGATGATATAAACCAAGTGATTTCCTAACTAAACAAGAAGTTTACACCAAGCAAACTTTTCTTGTCAACTCTTAGCATCATCATGTGCACTGAATTCTCTCGCCTTATAAAAAAAGAGAAATTCAAATATAGTCTACAATCAAATGCCGATATCTTCCTATAAATAACGCTAGTCAAAGTTTTTTTGATTGATATTACGTCAATTCAAGAAGTTTCCACGGTAACGCTTGTCAAGGGGTCGACTAAAGCGAGTAGAAATCCAAGGTCATTGGTAATATTTACGTAACTGTAGGAAAGTGGCCATGGTGACCAAAAAAAGTGCTCACCAAGTGTACAGTTTAACTCTCATAGTCAGTGGGGCCACTGATAAAAGTGCGAATCTTAGCTTAGTCAATGTACGAAGTTTCACAGCAACACTCACGTCAAGGTATCAACTAAACGAAGGTTTCATGGTAACATTTACGTAACTGCAATAATTAAGGGGCCCCTTCATAAAAAAGTGCTAATCTTACCCTGATCTAATCTTTCTAGAAATAAAATTGTGAAATCTTGCCATAAATGTATCTTGGAAAGGATACAGCAATATGTTAATAATACTTCCTGCTACTCAGTATCTCTTTTCTAACTGGCCTTAGCCGGTGTCCATACGCTATTCAACACAAGCACGTTCAGCCAGTAGTTTTGTCTATCCAACAAAACCTTCTACTGTTCTGTCGATCGCTGGAGTGCTATTGACAGAGGGTCCTATTGAACACACCAGGCAGTGGTGTTGAGGCCTCAGTGATGGTGGCTAAGAGGCTGCTGGCATTTGCCAAAGGTGCCACACAAAAACAAACCTGCCCTACCCAGGTGCCTATAGTTTTCCAAGACATTTCGGATATGCAATGATGATAATAATTACAAAATAATTTAAAAGCTATATAATTTACAATATAGTTCACAAATTATATTAATGCATCTTGCAATAACAGACAAATGTGTGAGAAGTTTTTGGTATGTAAGCGTAAACGCCATACCGATGTTTTGAGAATGAGGTTTTCTTTGAGGTAAACATGAGCGATAGATAAAAAGAAGTAAGTTGAGCATCATCGACCGGGTGAACGTAGTCCTGAATATGACTGATGTTGACAGTCCCTGACAGTGACTGACGTTTCAACAACCTGTGCGGTAGTCATCTTCAGAGTCAAAGCCATGAGTTTTATCACGTCAGTTTATGGTATTAAACTCTGGTTATTCACCTGATTGGTCAAACTTTAGTTGCTGTAATTTAGCCAACAGTCCTATTCAGGACTACGTTCACCCGGACGATCATGCTCAAGTTACTTATGAAATAACTCCTAGGTTCAAACCTTTCAGAGATAAATACTATCACGCTATAAATAAAACCACAAATAAGTAAGGCATTCGACTCTGTATCACACAATATCCTCTGTAGTAAATTGAAGCAGGTTAACATTAATCCGTATATTATTAATTGGCTTATTAGCTTTTTAGATCAGAGAAAGCAGAGAGCCGTTGTCGATGACTACCGTACTAAATATGTTTCTATAAATAGGGGTGTTCCTCAAGGTACAGTTCCGGGGGCCGATCCTCTTTTCTCCCTTAATTAACGATATCAAAGCTGTTGACAAAAATAAGAATCTTCTAGTCAAATTTGCAAATGAAATAACTGTTAGCTTGCCAATTGAGGCCAATGTAGGCTTAGATGAGTCCGAAACGGAAGTCCTATCCTTTCTTGAATGGTCTGAGATCAACTGCATGAAAGTTAACTTGACAGAAACAAGGGAACTGCTTTCAGGAGGAAGGACTACCAGGACGCCTCCTGAACCACTAGAGATCATAGGGAGGAAATAGAAACTGAAACTGTTGGGCTTTACCTTTGAGCAAGTGCCAGTTAATTGGGACACTCATAGCAAGGCTAGCAGTAGGTTGTATATTATTGCCAACGAGCAGCCTCGCGAACACGCGAAGCTGCGAGGCGACTGCCTAATAGAGCTTTGAGCGGTTGTTCCAGGGGCAAAAAAATCTCGAATCGATGTAACATAGAGTAATGTAAGACAACCATGACGTAACGCAGAACATAGAATGCATTGTTTTCGAGCGAACACGTGATACAGATCAGAGAATCCACGAGCCGTGTGCGTGTTTGTGAGTCCCGTGCTCATCCCGTCTTCAACCAATCGTCGGGTGGATCATTTCCATCCTACCTGATATCTGTCGCATTTGCCCGCTGGAATTTTTTTTTTTGCATGCTGCTAAGAAAAATAATAACGCAGCGAGATTTTTTGTGTCTTTGAAGCAAAATAATTCGGAAGGCTTCATTGGCGCGCCATAATTTTTTTAGCTTTAAAAAGAGACCAAATATAAGTCTGCACGTTGAATATTCGCGGATTTTAATATGATTTTTCGAGGATTTTAAGTTTGCTAATAAGACCAACAAAAATTTTACGCAAAATGACTTGTGCTCAACTTCGGACAAAAACACGAACTTCAATATTTCGTAAAATTGGCTGCATAAAGTCGGGATTTCAAATTTTTTATGCAGTAGATCAGTTTAGTTCACTATTTTCAAAAGATAAATTGAAGCAAAGGGCACACATACACCAAACTCAAACAGCTCCCACATGTGTTGTGTGGAGCTGGCGCTTGATAGACTGCTTTGCATTCACTTGGGCAGTAAGGGGTTTTTGAGACGTGAGTTTTCCCGGTCATTAACCCAATGGCTTTGCCGCGCTGGTGGGCCCCTGCAATAAGGGTGAAACAGCTGTCTGTAGTTGCCACTGCCCGCGTGAAATGGCTGTGCGCGTGCGAGAGGTACTGACCTGGCCACGGGTTGGTTTATGTATGACCCTTGCTTTAAGTTTGCACTATTTTCAATGCAATCGAATCAATCTATTTTTCATCAGTTACTGTAGTTCATGACATTTCTAAACACATTAAACAGCGCATTCGTATAGGTAAAATCTTCTCTCGTTGGCACTTAGCAATAGTTATAACTAGTAAGAATATGTAAATATTATGGGTACTCTTTTGCGAATTTGGACTTACTTAATATTTAAGTAGAATTGATAAGCTCTTTTCTAGGTGTTTTACGTTTGGTTACTGCTTAAAGCAGTAATCCTGGAAATTCGTCGTTATGGCGAAGGATTACTTCCACCGAACACTGCGTTGAGCGACCTTTTACCTCCCCAGAGAACACGGCAGATGAGAACTTGGTCGCCTAATTATATTTTACCTAATGTTCGGACAAGTCGTTATTAATCAGTTTTTATAAATAAATTTCTTTTTAATAGTACCTAATATTTATTTAGTCGTTTTCCTGTATTTTTCGCTTTCCTTTAGCAATTTTGTTGCCATGTAAATTGTTGCACGTCTGTTTGCGCAATGAATTATTGATAAAGACCTTTATTATTACAAAGAGAGCGCCATTTGTTCGTACCCAGTGAACGATTCATCAATGTCAGCAATTTTTACAGTAATTTCTTCGTGTTTACATTATAGCAATGATGGTCACTGTAATAGTGATTCATAATCTGAATCTTCTAATGCTGTTAGTCTCATTCCCTATAATATAACGTGACTAGATTCAACTCACTGAAAACATACGGTAAAAAGATTTAATAGTTCAATTCGTTGATTTGCACAAAACAAATTTGGAGAATAAAACAATTCACGTCGAATCAAGCAGCTTACCCCAAATCCAGCAGCAACAGTAGCATTAAAACAAAAAAGGCCCAGAGGAGAATTTGGGCATTGCCTTGGCTCATTTTCAAGAACAAGAGAGAATAGCATTGTGTCATTATAATTTCCATGAAAGCAGGCAAAAGCCCCTGATAACAGGTGACCAATGAAGAACTCAGTGCAGCGATAAAAGTCCTTAGCTACTATTCTGTTGGAAGTTACGTTGGTATTCTAGTTGCTCTTTGGCAATAATGTTCATCAGGTCATCCAAAAGCGACCCATTTTCACTATCTTGGACAGTTGCTCCATTCAAGGGTTCCATTCTTTGCGGTAGTCGGTTGTATCCATCCTCTGGATCTCTTTTTTGATTTGGAACAGTCTGGTCAGTCTCATAAATTTGTGGAACGACACTCCTTTGATCATGACCAGGAATTTTCTCAGTACATAGAGGACTCAACTGGTATGAAGGTTGATATTGGGGCTTCCTTATGAGTTTACGCATAGCGTAAGGCTCAGGTGTCACGCTACCTTCAGACAAACGGCCAACACCACGAATCCAAGAAGCGCGCGTATCACCGCCGTCAAGTGTAATTTCACCTTGACTACTGTTACCCATAAAGCTAAAGTTGTCCGTCATGTCGGTGCTATTAATGGAACTTTGAATGTGAGGGTGGGCTGCAGTTTCAAATGGAAATCCGTTGTTCTCTCTGTAAAACAAATTGGTCGGTCGCAAACTATTTTCCCCACTGTGATTCCACAACCCATCACAGACATCTGAATAATATGACAGGGCGCGGCTCTCTGACGGCACTAGAGCAAAGCCTTGCATGGATATACTCTCACTGATTTGTCTATCGACTTCTGGCAGCAAAGGGCTCCGTTTTGATGGTGAGTCATCCTCTTGAGACGAGCTGCTTGGCATACATACGGTCTTTCCCTTTTCTGGAAGTCCCCAATTACGCATCTCTTTTCTCCACTTTACACGCCTATTCTTAAACCAAACCTGCAAATACAATAAAAAGCGCTTATTGATTACAAATAAAGGAAACAAACAAACGCAAAAACAATCGGTTGGTTAGTTCTTTGAACTGTGAGGTAAATAGCTAATATCCGTGTCAAATGCAAAGCAGTTATTCAACTTGTATGTTCAACCTTTCTTGAACACATAAGGTGTTTCGATGCGGTTTTTCGGAGGCCATACCGATATTTTTCAATCGCCTTAAAAGTGAGTTTATCCTTGTCCGATCGCTTCAAAATTTTCGCCAGTTATTGACTATGAATTGAAGTTTGTCAAAATGCAATTTTAAGTAGAATCGCATAATTAAGTAAAATCTCGCATTCTGATTGGTTAACGAAGCGAGGTATTTAGTGTGGAATTGGGAGTTGAAAACGAGGCTAAGCGATATTGTTTCGCATCTACGTAACAACTATCGTCAAATTCTAACACAACAACATGCAAAAAAGGTTTTCTACAATGTCATTTTAAAATGTTTTCAAAACCATTCATTGTCACTTTTTGAAAAGTTAAAAACAAACAAAAGCGTTTTTTAAAGTGAGCCGGAGGTTCTTCCTTGTTTTGAACTGAACTACAGATTCTCGAAGAGACATAAAACCTCTTTCACTCGCGACAACCATAAAACAAGAAAATCCTGTGAACACGGCCCAGAAAATGGCAATCCAAAGTTCAACCAAGCAAAACGGAGAAGCGACAACGGAGGAAGTGCCGGGGTCGATTGTCCCATATACAGAAGAAGAAATAAATACCTTCAAAGAGGACATGGCCCCTGAAAACACGAAAAAGAGTACGCCGCTTGCAATCGTCCTGAATCGTGGTACTTAGAAAAGTACAAAACAGAGCTGAACTTGAACAGCATTTCTAAAACATTTCAAGGTACTTACCTTATGTCAATCGCGACGTTAAACATGTTAAACTTTCAGTGCTTTCGCTTGGACACTTGATTTCTTTCAGTTTTGCCGCCGAAGAGGTAAAAGGTATAAATTATTTTCCGTCTCGAGCAAATGAACAATTTGAAAAAAGACGTTCTACATAAACGGCTTCTAAATTCAGTAAAATACCTCTATGTATCCTTACGATTAGTGTCAAGCTTGTTTACATGTAAAAAAGTTTGAAAACAAATGTGAAAACAAGCACAAGGTACAAAAAAAGTTGTCGAAGGTTCAAACGTGTACGACTGACCTTGCTTCCTATTCGCTAACGCAATGACAGTTCTGACAGTTGACTTTGAAATGCCTTTCTGGAGCGCGCGCTCAGGATAAAAACAAACAATATTATTGCTGTTTTCTTTTTTTTTTCTTCTGATTTTTATTCAATTATGCGATTCAAGGAAAATTCATTACCTGACTCGAGAATTCCACGTTAAATTGCACGCGAAAACCGATATCGCACGAATCGCGAATCGGTTTTCAAGTCCCTCGTCAGGTAATGAATTTTCCTATAAAATCGATATCAATATGGCAACAATAAACAGAAACTTTGAAATCGATAAAAGCCGAATTTAGCACGATCAAGACCGGCTACTGAAAAACCGACACCAGGAACTAAGCAAATAACGTCCGTGACAAGTAAAACATTTAGTATGTTTGAATTCAAATAAAACGTAAATAATTATATTTCAAACCTTACATTTTCAAAAGTCATGACAAATTGTTTCATAAAAAGGTCTAAATTACTCATATTTCGCTGCTAGGAAATTTTGGTGTACTTTCTTTAATTTAATTCGATTTTAAAACTCAAACCTGTTTTCTCACCACCTTTCAAAGTCTAACTTTGTTCTCAGTTTTGGCTTTTAGCGCTTTGGCTGTATATCTCTAGAACGGCTCCACCAAATTTTTTCTAAAGCTTATCACATAATCTTCATAATGAATACAATAATTTTGGAACTTTCACTCAGACTGATTCACTGCCACACCTTGAAATTTCAAGACGAACCTAGCCTATGACCCGGCCAAAAATTCAGCGTTACAACATTCTCTATTTTGACGTTCTGCTACCTTTTTCCAAATTAATGCGTACTATAGATACCTCCACGATTAGTTATCACAGTTATTAGTTATTGCCAATCTAGATCGCTCAAAATTCGGTTTTTATCGATGTCAAGTTTTTTGTTTATTGTTGTAATAGTGATGTTCATTTTGTATAAAACTACATTTTGACAAACTTCAATAACTAAAATCAGTCAGTGTTGAAAATTTCATACTCATCGGGCAATGATAAAAACACTTTTAAGGCGATTAAAAAACATCAGTATGGTCCCCAAAAACTGTTGAATTCGAAATGGCTTTAATACGAGAAATTTAATACTCTGGAATTTGTAGCAGTTCTACTTCTAAGAATCAATATTATGCCTGCCCAGTAATAACCAACTTTTTACCAGATGTTATCATTAAAATTAAGAGACAATAAACGCATTCTCCCATAACTTTGCTACAAGTGAACAGACATGTCAAACGTTAACGGAACTTATAACCAGACCAACCCGGCATAATATACACTTAATGTCAGATCCCGAGGGATCTGACATTAAGTGTTTTGTTATATTTCTAGAACTTTCACTTCAACAGCAACAAAAGAATAACCGGAGCGAACGAAAACGAATCAAAACAGTCGACTCGGTACTTATAACAACACAAATTTAATTCTCAAAAGCACTGAATGAATGATTTACAAACAAAAGTACTTTCCCTATATCATCTGCATCTTTTTCCTCCACTAGCTGCTGTTTTCCTTCTGGGAACTTCTGGGATAACTTTAAAAATCGTTGCTTTTTACCTTGAGGCTTCGTGATTGTGTTGTTGTGTTCATTCACGAAAAAGAAAACCGGCAGGACCTGGCGGTGTTTTTCCCGCCTTCTGTCACGCCACTTTCTACCATGCTTTGATCACGTGCTGCAATGTATCCCGAGCGGGATACATTGTTTAATGTATCACGATCGGAATACATTTGATTTTAGTCAAGGCCACGTGACCAAGAATCAACCAATGGCAGTCCCTGTTTAGTTGAGTGAAATTCTAGGAATATAACAATAAGGGATATCCTTCGGTGCGCGAAGCGAGCGCGAGTGGAGCCTGCGAGAAATTTTGGCAATCACGTGACGGTACATCCGTCCATGTCAACCCATCTGTTCGCAACACAGGAAAACCAATGTGAAATCTCACACTTTCCAGCTAGTGTGCATGGGAGCCTGCAAACTGATATTGCACATCTATGTTGTGGTCAGTTGATAGCTGTCAAAACAGTGTATCCGCAGACCAGTATCACATGACCGTATTGCGGTCTCAGGTGTCGACACATAGAGGTTATGTTATTTTTTGGAGGTTATCTGCTCATAAATTAATACTTTTCAACTAATCTCACGCTCAACTCCAAGTGGATTTCTTTGCGATGGTTTCAAGTTTATTTTTGGAAATAAATCATAAATTTATTAACGGGAGCTTTACTTTTAGCCTTCGCTAAATCTTTATTGTGTGTAAACGTGAGGACTACACGCTACTTTGACTTTCGCTGCTCTTATCAAACAACAATGTGAGTTGTTTAACGGAATAAAATTCCCAATAAGATAAAACAGTATTACCTTGATATTTTGTTTATGGATTCCAAGCTCTTGTAACCGACGGCAGGAATGCGGCGTGAGATACTGGCACTGACTGAAAGCTTTTTCCAGCTCATGTCGTTGAAGCAAGGTGAAGTTTGTCCTCTTTTGTCGTTGCCCTGGCTGGAATTTTTTCTGATCAAGTGGATTGCCTGGTAGGAATGTATAGGAGCATTTAGCAGGACGTAAGAGAAAATGTACCAAAACTTAGTTAGATCTTGAAAAGAAAAAATTCCCCATCTGTTTGCTCGATAGAGGATTTACTTACGATAAATTAGACGCAAAAGATATTTTCTTGTAATCTTCTTGCAGCACCATGAAGAAATAGCCGAAAGCATCTTCGTGCAAATACTTTTTTCAATCTTTTTACAATCATTATGGTAGCTGACGTCATAAAGACACTTTTTTTCCTTCCACTCCGATGGCCCATCGACGCATCAACACGGTTTCATTTCGTTTCATTTCATGTTAAAATTGGTTTCCCGCAAAAGTTAAGCCGACAATAAACATTTTTCTGCCGGGTGTGCAAGCTGAGACTCACGTCAAAGGAGTCAATTCAAAACTCTTTGATAGCGGTCGAGTGTTAGGTAAGACCTTTCGCTTTAGCTGTTTGTAGACTGCGTTGGTCTTCAGTAACTCCTGAAATTTAACAAACTAGTATTTGCTAAGGCTGGTTTTCACTAGCGAAGGAGTCGGAGTCGTAATCAGAAGCGTAGAACTTAACGTAACGATCTAGTGAAAACAGCGTTCTGATTCCTCTTACGACGACTCCGTCGCTTGCGATCAAGTCAAAACTGGGTCGTAGGAGTCATAAGCAGAAGCGGAAGAACTAAACCAATTACAAAGCGTGGGAACGTGCCTTGTGATTGGTTCTTCTACTTCCGACTCCGACAATCTGGTTTTCACTAGATAGTAAACGACGGAGTCATAAGCGGAGTCGGAAGAAAATGGAACCGTTCTGATTCGTCTGACTCCCATTCCGTCGTGTTTATGACTCCGCCTACAACACCGATTTTTGATTCTCACCAAGTCACTCCGACTCCGACTCTGTCGCTAGCGAAAACCAGCCTTTAAGCATAATTTCCATAAGAGAAGGAAAAGGGTTTGTATGAAAACAAGGTCAACCTCAGCCTCATGTTCACTCAACTGTAGAATGGCCTTTTGGTATATGCCTGTTTTATTTCATTCATTTGAAAACCCAGAAACGCCATTGTCTCCAAATACATGCACGGTCGAGATTTCATCATCAGACTATTTTTCTGTAGGCAGTTTATTGTCGTCGGTGACTAACCGGCACTAACCTAAATCACTTCTGCTGCATGCTTTTTTAATTATTTCCTTACGTGAAAATTAGGAAGGAATAAGGAGCGCTTACCATTTGTACTGAAATGTCGGTGAAAATTTTACCTCAAATGGCACTGGTAATTTTTTTTTTTTTTTTTTTTTTTGTACCGAAAAAAGGAATAGGATTAAGTTGTGCCATTTAGAAAATGCTGGTAAATTTTTCGCTACTCCTCAACATGAGAGCCTGGCACTAGTAAAGACAAAGGATACAGAAAAATACCGGTCGTTTCGGCAAAAGCTGGAAAAAGGTAATACCCCGGGAGGCATTATTTTTTTGTGAAAACATTCCACCGGGATGAATCGTTCCATTTAAATTCTCCCTGGCATTACCGGATTTTCTGTACAATCGGTAAGCGCTCCTTATTTCTTCGTAATTTCCACGTATGGAAATGATTACAAAAGCACGCAGTAGAAGTGATTTTGGTTAGTGACAGTTAGTGTTTCGGGTATACCATTTACATCATGCTCTCTTTTTTCGACAGACTCGTCTGAATTTTCTTTCAAATATTATTTTCTAACCCAAAAGTGAGTAGAACCTAATCTCTGGGTGCAAATTGTTAATTACCATTTTGTTACAACTTATTTCTTGGACACAAATAAATAAATAATATTAGTACTCTGTCTTTATTCGGAAAATTAGGCAATCCCGCCTAGGTATATGTATCTGTATGTCAAAATAAAAGGCCTTTTTCACTTCTTAGATGGAAAATCGCTCGATGTGAAATATACTGTGGGTAGAAAAACGAATGACGGATAAATAAACCTTTAGTCAAAAACAATACATGACAAGGCAATTGCGAAACATTTGATCGGTTGTTTACCATTGATAAAAAAAATCCGTAAGATCCGGTTGGAAAGTAAATGAAACAGGACTTTTTGGGTCGTTCCTGCGAAAAATCTCGGGGAGCATGCAACGGGAATAACGGCACGGAACGGAATGTTCCAAACGGAAATTCGTGTTCCATTTTTTCAAAGCCATTATACAAGTTTCGGGCCTTTGCGGTCGTTTTTCCGTTATGGAACTGATTAATACAAATGGTAAACGCGATTCAGGAACGATATTTTCCAGTCCTAAATTTTGCTTACTATTTTCCCAAACTGCGAACCAGCCGGTTTGCCTATGATGGAAAACAACCAATAGAGGACCTGCAATTAAGTACTTACCTTCCTGGTTGCACTTTTGCTCACCTCCTCCATCTCCATTTTCACTTTCAAATAAGCAAATATTTGAGAGATTCGCCTCCGTTTTTGGCTCTTTCTCGGTTTGAACATAACTGAGCATTTTTTGTGAGATGCAAACAAATCAAGACATACAGTCTTAAGAAGGAATGTATAGTAAGACTGAATGAATGCTCTTTGAGGTAAGGGATGGCGAGTCAGAGTAAAATCTGAAACTCTCCCAGACGCCGCGATGCTCGTTTAGAAAATCGGAGATTTTGCAGCAAAATGTTCAGGGCGAAAAAAAGGGAAGAAAAACAAAATAACAAGGTTTTGAGAGACCCGCGATTTTATGCCCATATTCAAGCCTTAGTGACGTGTTTATTACTCCATCATTTGCGTCACTTCACTAATTGATATATCATTTTCGAAGGTCGACATTCAAAATACATTCCAATTAATCAGTGATCAATGATTGGACGATATGTTTACTCAGTAATATCCTTAATTTTACAACAAAAACTTTTCTTGTCCACCCTAAGAACTACCATCACTACCGCGAGCATCGCATTTGCCTTCATATTAAAAAATAAATTCAAGTATAGTGTTTCTTTTGTACCCCTCAAAATGCTGATATCTTTCTATTTATAACACGAGGTAAATTTTTTTCGATTGATGACGTCAAAATACGAAGTTTCCTCGGAAACGCTTACGTTAAGGTCTCAATGAGGTAGAAATCAAAGCTCTCCTGGCAAAATTTACGTTACTACAAGAAAGTTGTTAGTAAAGCCGACGAAAACAATGTTCACTCTGAGTGCAAAATATTTGGCAGTTAAACTCTTTTATCGAAATAAAAGCCCCTTCATAAAAGTGGTACCCTTCAAAGCTTTTAAATAATAAAATACCAAGTATTTTTCTGAAAACATTTCCATGCCTCACCATCATTAAATCTTCGACAGCTTACAAACAAGAAAACAAATGAAAATCGTTCTTTTTGCCTACAATTTTATTAAAGACAATGACAGAAAATGTTAAGACGGAATCCATCAGGAAATTGAGTAATTTTGATTTTCATTGGACAAAAACCTTGTACCAGAATAATTTAAACAACATCGCATTCTTTTTTACATTTTGCAAGGGCTAAAGATGAAATTAGTTATCTGTAATAACACCAAAGAAAATTTTTTATGGGAGCGAATGTCAAATTTCACAAAATGACATCTTACACATGAAATTTCAGACATTTACTTGTGTTTTCACAATTCTTGTGAAATTTGACATTTATTTTCTCTGGGTCCCATGAGAAATAGTCTTTGATGTTATTACAGATTAATAAGTTATATCTATAGCCCTTGAAAAAATGTAAAAAAGAGTGCTGTATTGTTTAAATTATTCTGGTACAAGGTTTTTGTCCACTGAAAGTTGAAATTACTCAATTTCCTGATGGATTCCGCCTTAATAGACCTTTCCCGCTTTACGCTATATAGTGAGCAAACACAAAGAAATGAGGACGAGGCTCGCGTAGACAATTTCATTTTGTGCACCCGAGCCTCGAGTTGGTGCCTTTGTTTACAGGAATGCGGGAAAGGTCTATTATTTTCGTGGTTTGGACTATCACAGTTTCAACATCCACCTAAAGGACACTATTCTAATTAACACATAGATTTAGCCAGGGCTAAAAGCGAAGCTCTCTTTAATATTTATAGTTTCCCCAAAGAAAATATAAAATCGAGTAATACCATAGACAAGGTGAAAACAACAAGAACGGTAAAAAACAACAACAACAGATCTAATAAGCAAATAAACAACTTTTCACGTGCAGCACATTTTTTTGTTTTTTGTACATTTCATTGCCGTTGTTTTGCACGACTACAACGTAAAACCACTTTTAACTTCCTATTTACACGTTTTATGGAGGAAATGTTTGTGTTCCTGTTCACTCTGTTTTTTCACTGCCGCTCATTTTCTCACCGCCGCTATATAATTTTCAAATTTTTTTTCCAACGAAGTTGGTCTCCATTGTTATTTATTTTTCACTCTGGCTCTTTCCCTGTCATCCAAGTCAATGTAGACTTTAATATTTAGTGGAAAGAAAGACTCGTTCTTTTTTGTTGTGTTTTTCTCTCTAAAAGTCCGGGCGGCCATGTGATTTACCGCCGAGACGAGCGGTGTGCTTGAAATGCAAGATTTCACCTTAGCTTTAACATACTCCTCCCCCGACGGGCCGACTTCTGACTCCCTTCCCTCTCCCCCAGAGTCTGTATGGTCAGCGTTAGGCTTTTTTACATTATGCTAGCATTTTTTCGAGCATTTTAGTGAGGCAAAAGCATTGAGCATTATTCGAGCATTTTAGTGGCATTTTCCCCGGAAAATTAATTTTTCCGAGAAAATAAAATAGAAATTAACTTTTTTCTGGAGCCCATGCCCCATGAGCTCCTGCTTTTTTAAACAAAATGAAGACTAAAATTCAAAATTCACAAAAAAACCTAATACAGCCAGTTTTTTTCGCTGTATTTATGAACTTGTACACGTTGTCGTTGTTCCTTGCAACACTTGCACGATTTTGTAAGTGTAAACTTTGGAATTAATTTAAAAAAAACCGTTTGTATAATGAGCATTATCCGAGCATTTTGGTGACTTTTTGGCCGGGAGACCGAGCATTTTAGTGGGAAAATTGGAGTATTAAGGTGGAGCATTTTAGTAGGGAAGCAAAAGCATAATGTACAAAAACCTAGTCAGCGTTCGGTCGTACGCTGACGTAATAACCAAATTTTCGCGGATGGATAGATTACCAAATTTCCTCAGCTACGGGGCTCCGCTTTAAAATCAAATACTACTTGGGGATTGCTGCCTTACCAGCAGATTGCAATGCCATCCCTGTAGAGATAAGTAAATACTCTATAATGCTTATAGGATATTACCTGTACGTTAAATTTCAAAAGTAGCTTCTAGTTTATTTCGATTCCAGTTTACTTAATTAGCTGTATAGGTGGCTTGATGGGGGGTTTCAGTTGCCTGACAACCAACTTTTAACCTTGAAAACATTTAGTAGACAATCATTCAAACTAGCAATAGATTGAAGTTTGTCATGCAGTAAGGTTTTTGAAGATCGGAGCGTCCCTATCAACGCGACGTTGCCATGGCAAACTTTGGTATTTGCTGAGAGTAACGAACAGTCTTTAGAAAAATCGGTTAAAATTATGAATACTGTACATTCTGGGTAACACTTTGGCCAAGTTCGGTTGATTTCTATATATGAGCATTTTCGAATAAAGCGCGTGTGTTTTTTCAAGGGTCTTTTTATGTATTTTTTAGAACATTTAAATAACGACTCAGAAAAATGCTTACCAATTTTTGCCCGCTAATTTAGAAAGGTACATGTTAATTTAAGCTTTCAACCCTCGGTATTGCAAGGAAGTCGGTTTGTATGATCGCTTGCTTTGCCAGTTATAGTAATTGCACCATTTTCAGTATTTCAAAAAATGAATTAGAACGCTAATTTATTCATTTATAACATCCGTCGATGAAGTTTCTCTAAAATTTCTTGAGAGGTCTATTGTGTCATATTTACAATGTTTGTTCCTTGAAACCATTTTCTATTGTCCAGATTTTCGTACCACCTTGAATTAGGGGCAGACCATTAGACATGCCCGGAGGAGGATGAAAATTTTTTGGCGCATGAATTTGTTTTTATAAGCTTAATGTCTACAGAATTTTTTTTTCCGGGGCATAGGCTTTGCACAATTTATTTTATTTTATTATTTCTTTTTTAGCATGTCTTCCTTTGTAACTCATCGAAAGATAAACGTAAGATTTTAAATCAGTAACATATTGTTTCATTAATTTCGAAGATGTCTTGGCTGAAGGGATCTGAACAACAACTGCGCTCTAAACACGCCCTGTCAATTTTTGCAGTGTTCAGTGACAGATTGCCATTGACGTAGGAATGCGTTTAATGAACACGTTGAACACGAGCCGTAGGCGACTGTGGCTCCGATACCACATTTTGAAGCCTTCTGTGATCTGTTGCTGACCGACCGGTACCCCCGCTTGCAGGATTTTGTTGAACTGGGCTGCTATCCCTGCCAACGTTCTATAGTCGGCACTCTCCGAGTCACCTTTATGTCGTATCTTGGGACCCTAGATGCCAACAATACTGTTGAGACATTCATTACGTTGGCTCGACTATACTGTGGCCAATTTTTTTGCAGCTTCCTCAGTAAGGAAATGGCTAAGGGCATCTTCAAGGCATGCACGGAGATCATTACCAGTGACGTCTTTTCCACCTGGTAAGTAAGTCTGCGAGGCGGCAATAGTTGGCAGGGTCCTTGTTGTGTTTCCACCAAGTCGAGCATGCCTAGTGATTGACCCTAGAGTTCTAGTTGGGTGCTGGGTGGTTAATGTAAACAAACTTCTCGATCTCATAATAGACGAGTGTCTTAAGGCGAATCTCAGCATGCTCAGTGGTGTCGTCGCCCACATAGGAAGGGTAAGAGACGCCATCCTTGATCGCTTCGCGAAAGAGTTTAACGGCGACGTCGATTTTCACGCTTTTAGAGAGCCCCTGGTAATATCGCCTACAATCGTCTTGGTTTACCTGCTTTCTTTCTCGCTCCGCTACGTCGAGAGGTCTTTTTGGTAGTTGGGGAGCGCGTTAGTGGCCGTTGCCGTTGTAGAGAAGTGGCCGTTGTGGAGAGTAAGGGACGGACCATTATATTTCTGGAGGGATGGGGATGAAAATTCTAGAAATTCCGGGAGCAAATTTGAATGGAAAGAAAATTTTTTGGAACATTTGGGTATACCTCGAGAGGTTGTCCTCTTTTTGGAAATCTTTGAAAATGATGTTCCATTCCCTATTGTCGAAAATTCAAACAGGAAGTTTTGGTTGAATGGAGAGAGCTAGAGCGAGATAAAAACAACAACAACAACAACAAAAGAGACGAATTTCGTTGGAAGAACAACATGGACATTTTATACAAACGCACAGGACCACAAGCAACGAAATTTTCTTGTCGCAAAATAAAACGTAGCCTGAGAAAACAGCCGACATTTGGCAACACTACCACGGTTTTCCCGCCAAATGACGTCTGAGAAACGAGCGCAGAAATTCCATTACGATGACCCGTCACTACCCAGATCTGGGTAGTGCCTCTGATTGGTTGAATCAAATTTCCCACTCGCCACGACCAATCAGAAGCACTACCCAGATCTGAGTAGTGACGCGTGATCAGTGTGGAATTTCTGCGCTCGTTTCTCAGACGTCATTTGGCGGGGAAACCAGTGTTAGCGTCGCCAAATGTCGGCTGTTTCCTCAGGCTAAATAAAACGTGTAACTAGGAAGTTTCACTTTCTAGTCATGCAAAACAGCGACAAAGAAATGTACAGAAAAGTGTGCTGCACGTGCAAAGTTGTTGTTGTTGTTTTTTGCCTTCTAGCATTACACGATTTTAATTTTTGTTTGCGTAAGTATATTAACGAGAGCTTCGCGTTTAGCCCTGTCTAATATATTATATAGTCTATAATAGTGCAGAAGGTCAAACTTCAAGCTTTTCATGATCTTTTAATCGAAAAAACAAACCAACAGCAACAAACTTCAACACAGTGTTTGCGTTTTTCTTTAATTGATTTTCTTCCCTTCAAAAAGTCGTTAACTTAATAAATATATGATATTTATCGACCGGGAGAACCCACGGTCTAGCTTGAGGGCTGCTACCTGATTTCAGACCAAATTCGGGTAATATGAATACGAAAATCACAGGCATGCGACTTAGGAAAAGTTGGGAGGTATAGCATTCCTATTAAAACTTGAGAGTCGCACGCGCGATGGACTACCCACGCGAAAAAAATAGTAAGAGTTACCTTCATAGTATTTTAGCAAAGTACCATTTGTTTTCGCCATGTTAACAAAGGGAATTTATAGAGTAATTTTTCATAATGTTATCTCGGTTATTGCTTGGCGCTCACAACATCGCAGTCCACATTTATAAAAATTCGTTCAACGAAAGTTGGAATAATATAACAGTGCAACCAGGATCTTTTTATGGAAGCGCTGTAGAGAGGAAATTTGAGCTTGTGACCGAAGACCTCGAGCTTAGAAGGACATCCTGGAATCCTGCCGGTTTCCTTTCATTATCAGCTCTCATTACCCCCGCAGAATACATTGCTGCCCGGTTTATACAAAGCGGCAACACATTATTGCTTATTGTGGGCATGGGTCTAGCAAATGGCCTCATAGCTTCCTTAAAGCGAGGATCTTATCTCGAGATCATTTTCGTCAGTTCTCTCCTCTTTGTTTGTGACTGTTGTTATGGAAACAGGTTTTCGCACTCTGAGAGGGGTGACGGGCAAACTGTGATCACGCGATAGTTCTATGAATGATTGACAGATCTTATCGTAATCGTCAAAGTCAACTTGATGAGGACGCAAAGTGGAGTCCAGTTCACTCCTCTCCATTAGCTCGTCAGCAAGCTCCGGTTTGTGGGGAAACAAGGTTCTGCGGAACATAAACAAAGGACAATTCTTAGTCTTAGCAATTTCTTTCGACTACAGACCAGAGCCAACACTAAACACCTTGGAGATGAGGAATTTTTCGATGCACAATTGTTTCATGCAGAACTAAACTGACTGCCATATTTTGCTGGAAAGAGCGCCCTATAATTATAAAAGGAAGTGAATATATTGCTCCACAAAGTCGCGAAATTTTACAGACGTTTGTATTGTACGGGGCACGAACTTACCCCCACCATAAAAGTTCTATAAGATTCGGCGACTACTTCACGGAGCTATATTTTCGTTAGTTTTCACAAATCACTTTCAAACTTAACTTCTTAACTAATTCTAAGGCGTTCTTTTTAGCCATGTGTACGGATTTTCGCTAACTGGTCGCAGTCAAAAGTTGAAAAAACCATGGAAAGGTAAAGAGACGGTCTATGAACATCCTCTAAATAACAAAAAACAACAGTCTCAGAAACGTGATCACAAGCCAATATTTAAAATATGATGGTCATGTTTGCCGTTGCGAAGTCGAAGCGTCTATACCAACTGGACCCTTAGATAAATATTACTAAGCTATTAAATGCCTTTATCGAGCAAGCAAAGAGGTCTACACAAAGTAAGAGTAGTTCCACTGCATTGGTTGACCGTGTAGTCGCCAATGCAACTCCACGATAACATGATTACTGACTGGAGGATTAAACTGTGCTGTACTTTATTATTCAGCTTCACTCGACAGAGAAAAAATAACGCCCAAAACGAGCACAAATATCTCACGTCACGATATAGAGGCCAGGTGGATCAGTACATTTTCGCTGAAACTTAAAACGTACCTTTCATGACCATAAATCCTTATAACTATTGTTTGTAAGTAGGACTTTCTAGGATTTTGTATATTTAGTATTTACTTAAATTTTGTTTAATTTTTTTATCTTCAATTTTTGGTTGACGGCCACGCGTATATTACCTGTGGATATCAAGTGAAACCCTCATTCATCAAAAGCTCATGATTATTTTGTTCATTTTGGCAAAACTAAGCCTGCGTTTCGATACAAGTTTATTCAGTCGAGTTGTAAATAGCTTCACGCGCTTAGTCTAAAGAACGAAGAATATTCACTCAAAGCTTACTCAAGCGCAAACTTTTTGTGCAACTCCACTGCTTGAGTTCGTATCGATACGACCGGTTACCAACCAGGTTCCTCTAGTTGAGTTACTAACCGAGGTTAAAATACGTCTAGCAAAACTGGTATGTGAACGCTTCCAATAAATTAATTCTTTGGTACAAACACATCTCTCTCGACATCCACGAGCTTTTCCCCCAACATTGAGCTGCCTTACCGTAAAGAATTTCGAATGGTTTTCCTCCGCTCCGAGTAAATCGCTTTCACCACTTGCTCCACAACAAGAAACGGAGCATTGATGAGTGGGGTTACTCTTGGAACAAAACACAGCAACGAGGCATCAACCTGGATAAATGAAATATGCGCATTAAAAACACCAAATCCGACAACATAATATCAGCAGGAGCAGTTGGAAAGTTAACAAGACAATAAAGTGGGAGTAATTATACGCCACTTTCAATGACACACAGTTGAATAATCGTTTTAGTGTACCAAGTACCTTATTATTTTATCTAGTGTTCGGAAATTTTAAAATCTCGCACGTTGCACAGAACATATTACCGCTTACAAAATCACAAGGCTACTCAGGTGATGAAATAAAGTCAAAAAAAGGTGAAAGAAAGGAACAAAAGAAAGGAAAGAAAGGAACGGCTTCAAGTGTTCGACCATCGACAGCAACAAAATTCCGATGTTTTTAGATCCGATACTCTGCAGTCAACGAAAACAGAGATGTTTTTCAAAACTTAAAATTTGTTCTATTCGGCTGCCTGAAGATAAACAAATAAAAATAAAGTATACAGATACCGTTTAAGTGGAATGTTGGTTGTTGAGGAGAGGGGGGGGGGGCAGCAAAGGAGAGAACCAGCAACAAACTCAAGCCACATACACTCTTCTTTATATATAAGAATGTTGTTTTTCCGGCCCAGGCTAAAAATTATTATTTTATTCTTCTTCTAGGCTGAAAATATTCTTGAATTATTCTCAACAAGAGCGAATGAGCTCAATTATAAATTATAGCTTATGGCATTTACGCTTTAGAATGTATTGGGGTTTCAATTACCGGTGTTCTTGCAGTTAAGTGAAAGGAATAACTTTATACGGTTAAATTTAAAATGTACAATTGTACTGTATTTACAGACACAAACTTGAGTCCTGTTTCAACTCTCAGCCTCGGATGTATTCTTAAAAAAATCTTAAAATTTCGCAAATTTCAGCCTCGACATTCTTATCGAAAAAAAAAAGAGTATATGGCGTCGACGCTGGGATTTGAGATTTAATTTGATTAAAGAGTTCCCTTTAAGCGCCAACACAACAACCCACAAATTCTTAAACCAATAGATTCGTGTACATTGCAAGCTGGATTTTACTTTATATGTAGACCTCGCCACATTGCCATACAGTACCTTGGGTTCTGGCACAAATACTTGTCTTGGTAATGAGTATTTCTTCTTCACTTCACAAAGATACTGCGTCATAATCGCCAGTCTGGTGCATTCACTGTTCCCTGGAGGAGATTGGATGTTCTAGACAAGAAGAAAAGGAAAACGTAGTAAGTTTGCACGGAGCGGAATAGAAAATGACGTGCTCAATTTAACAAACATAGCCTTATTGTATTTGGTAAAGGCGACGAACAACTTCCGCGATGAAATTTGAAGTGATGAATTGATGAATTTCATATATTTAAACCAAAAGTAAATGCAAAGAAAATGATCGCAGTTAAAAACGCAACTTAACAGTAGCAAAAAGAAAGCCTCCAAAACAAAAATAAAAATAAAAATAAAAAAGGACCAGCTCGCAGTTGGCTTGCTAGCTGAATGGTTAGAGCCCTGCACCGGTAACGCAGTGGTCTGTGTTCGAACCCCAATAAGACTCATTTTTGGGGGGATATTTTTTTCGCAACAGAATAAGTTGAAAGAACTGTTTTTGTTCGTTGTTGTTTGTTTGTTTTAAACAATTTGTTCTTTGCATTTATTTCCGAAGAATATGGTCGGCAAACAGTCTGACGGCGGAAGCACATCAGGTAGCATGTTGGAGAAAGCTGGTTAAACACTGCAAACAAATTTCGCATTGAAATATACGAAATAAATCATATCTTGAACCGCTGGATAAAAATATGAACGGGAACATAATCCTCGCAGTTGGATGAACAACCTAAGCAGTTGAAAAAGAACCTGAATATTGGCTTGATTAGCTCATATCAATGGATAGAGCGTTGCATCCGGTCATCGCAAAGGCCAGGGTTCGATTCCCGGTCAAGCCCGAATTTTTCCGGTTCTTTTTCTGCCTCCTAAGTAGTTCATTCAACCGTTAGGATCATGTTCTTTTTCATATAATTTTAGATTCATATGACCTTATCAGATAAAAAAAAAAATGTGCAGAAAACCGGACTACTGTCATAAATTTTTCCGAGTTTGCTAATGTTAAGAGAAAGATTTAAAATCGCGTTTTGTGACAAAAACGCCACAATCAGTCTGCGCAACAATAAAGTTTACAATTTTTTTAATTTTGGGTTGAGTGCGCATGAACCGACCAAAACTATTTCTAAGGGGGCAACTGGCATAAAATAATTACTTACTTTTGCGTAGACACAATTAACAGTGAACGATAAGCAAAGGGAAATCTTGGTCATTGTACATTTAACGTTTACCGTTTGCCGTTAATTTAATGTGATTCTACAAACAATCGATCATCTTTGTAATGACTGAGAATTTCACATGACTTCTAGGAATGCCAATGAACAAAAAAATCATGATTATTGTTCACTTAAAATTAAGGCAAAAACAAAATTAAAAAAAACACTTGTCTGCGTCCATACTTCTTTTCACTATGCAACCGAAATAGAAGCGACACGTCTGCATGCAGGTTAAACAAAAAAAAGGGCCAAACACAATAGCCACTGAAAATATTCACACGGTTCTGACACTAATATTGAAATTATTCATGACATACATCAGCAACTTCCTTCTGAAACACCAGGGCCATTGGTGTCCTTCCAAAAACAAATGGACCTGCCCTCTGAGGAATGGCCTCTAACCACTGAAGAAGAAGAGGAATTGACACATTGAACGGGAGATTACCAACCATGCGTACACCTGGAGTATCTATAATGAAAAAAATGAATTAATTCTAGACAGTAAAATAAGCCAAAACAAAGGGTTTGGTTCTTTAGGGCATTACTATTAATTTTTCATTCCTTCCCGCCTTGATAAGATAGTTATTAGCGAACTTAAGCAAAGGCGTTCTTGAGCGACACACGTCAACCGGAAGTGAGGTTTTCTACATTTTAAAATTTATCGACGCTACCAAATTTGTATTTTTTAATCCCTTTCTGATTATAGTCCACTTCCGGTTGGCGTGCGTCACTCAAAAACGTCTTTGCTTAAGTTCACTATTACAGATAAGGACTGTTGTTAAGGTATAATTAGGATATTAATTGATAAGCCTAAACATGAACATAAACTTGTACAGATCTACAAACATATTGAATACTTAAGCTGATGTTCCATCTATAATTGCCAAGTTGACCAGAAAGGCTCACACTCCATTGCCATTTATTGGAACAGGGTGGACAGTGGTCTCGTAATCTGGCAATCCTGTGTTTGACTCCGGCTCTGACAACCAGGTTTGCATCTGACTGTGGTGGAGTCAGGTGACGGAGTGTGGGAGTGTGTGATAGAATGCTATGGAATAGTTTATTTCCAACAAGAAAGAATAGTGCATTCTTTTAATCCATAAAATGAATTGATATGATTGTTTTATTGGACAAATCATCAATACTTTTGTTTTGGTCAACCTTTCACTGTTTCATTGTTTCATTGTTAGCAGACTCACATTGTCAGCCTCACCTGCAATTTCCTAAAAGCTGTCTTCAGCTTTTGTGAAATAGTACATTGAATAGTTACATTGTATTATTTTACTTTCAAAAAATATGAAATGGACCCCTAACTTTAGTTTTGCATTCTAGTCTTGCCTTTTAACTACAACATTTTAGAATGGAACATGTAAAAAGAAACTTAATAACCGTAAAGTAACAGTACCATGGGACTCCCATCTCACAACATCTGCTCTTGGGAAAGCATCTGGTATGTGAAATTTCATAATGTCTGCATGGTGTATGGTAAGTCTTCCTTTACTGGCACTTTGAAGCATCTAGTTTTAAAAAAGTGATAGATTTAACTCTTTCACACCAGAAGTGTAGACACGAACAATGTAGACACGAACAGCACATAAACTGTAATTCTATGTTTGAGAAAGATGTTTACTAAGTAAAAGACACAGGTAGCTCAGAACAAAAAATCTTTGAGTATTTCCAGTAGGAGTCAGACCTAATGATCTTAGGTCACCAGTGTGTGTGATGCTCTACCACCAAACTACAGGAGACTCATAGGGAGTTAAGGCCACTAAACTGGGTCAAGTTCTGTGTTCAACTGTAATGAGCCAGAATAGTTTGGCAGCCATTGAATTGTTTCTGTTTAACACAAATAGTGGTAACATTGTTTATACAATATAGCAGCAACAAAAGTTGAGAAATTATTACAGTGTTGAACAAGGTGTTTTTAAGCAGCAGTCTATCCAAAACACCAACCTTTTCTCATTAAAAGCCCTCTAGATAGAACATCTTGTAAACCCAATATGGTGAGTGACTACACTTCACTCAATGACATATTTATAAAAGACCCTTCCAAGGTTTTTTCAATTTTGACATGGACAAGTTAGGGAAAATCCATCGACATCACTGGAAAGAATGCCTAAAAATTAGTAGAATTGCCAAGTTTGAAAATGGTTTGTCAAAAACTAATGAAGATATAGCTCCTCCAGGTCTCCAAAATTACATACATTAATATTTTGTATAGAGGGGGCACAAAATTGCTTCCCACCATACAAACGTCAGTAAATTTTAGCAGAGCTAGAGACTGTACATGTACATTTGTATATCTTCACTCACTTAAGATGTATCACTGTCAAATTTGGCAGTTTAACTATTTTCAAGGCGCTCTTTCCAGTGGTGTCGACAGATTTTCCTTAAGTAGTCCATGTCAAAAGTTGAAAAATTGTGGAAGGGTTTTTTTTTCTCCATTTGCCTAACCTCTCATAAGCACCTACTTGACATATTGCCTGATCTCTGTGTTCAATGTATGTACTATGCCACTTAGAGTATCCCAGGAATTTTCGGTGAAAACATGGAACTACACATATCATATTAAACTAAAAAACCTTGTGTGCAATAAATCTTCTTCAAAATTGATCCTACGGTAAGCAACCACTAAATCTCGGCATTTTGAGTGGTTGATGACAAGAGGTTAGACAGCGTCCCTAACAGTTGTTTATGTTTCACCTTTGGGTTGATCCAGTACAATATAATGATTAACACTATCCTTATCCATATACTGTATATGTTACAGGTCCAAATTAAATTCAGGTTATTTTTTTTTTTCTATTTTTACCCTAGGTTGTTTCTTTAGTTCCTTCGTCTCCTACGTGTAGCTTAAATTATTCATGAATTAGGGCTGGGAGACAAAGGAAACTGAGAATCAACCTCGGTTAAAAATTTTTTTAACCTAAATTTAATGTTGACCTGTAACATATATGCCCACTCTCCTGGCTAGTCCAGAAGTCTCCCAGACTCTGCACAGTCTCCCAGTCTCCTGTACAGGTCACCAAATTTTGGGGATAAAATTGAGCTCTTTGTGCTCTAGTTTGTAACGTAGCCCATTTTTCCCAAAGTTCAAAACTACTTGCCACTCGTAGCAGAATTTCTGCAGTATTTTAGAAAGTATTTCTGCTTCATTTATACTCGCAGTCTTGGAAATGAATTTTAGTTAACCTAAACTTCGTAAGTAAGACTTGATAAAATTTTCTAAGCCACACCCATCTTAAATAAGACTGGGCCAATTTGTGTAAAATTGGGGGGGAGGGGGTTAATACTACAGGGCAGTCAGAGGCAATCTTCAGATTTTAAACTATTTTAGAACTGAAGAGGCTGGAATCGCTGACTATCAGATACTTGATGAGATTTTAAATCATGCGATGATGATGGAAAATAATAGAAACAAAAAAACAAAGCAAACAAACAAACAAAAAGTGTAAGCATCATACTTTTGAAGATGTAAGAGATTCTTCTACCTGTCTAATACTTTGTATGATTATTATACATGTACCTCTAATGAGGGCATAAATCTGCCATCAATTTCAACAGTAGAGACATGCTTGGCTCCAGCATGCAACAGAGACCTTGTGAGTGAACCTGGGCCAGCTCCTACTTCACAGACATGACAGTCAAATACATCTGCAACTCGTGCAATCTTATCTATAAGCAAAGGAAATGTTCTCTTTCAACAAAAAAAATCATTTCTACATGACAAGTTCATCACTTCATGTACATGTACATGTACACTTGGCATGATAATATCATACCCTTATTATAAATTCAAACTGTTTCTCTGCTTCTGGTTTGCTGAAATGCCCCTGGCTAAATTCATAAAGAGGTAGTGTTAACCAAATTTCAAAGACATTTGTGATATCCAGTAGAATTCTGCACATAACACTAGGGACAAGGCCGTATTAGCTTACAGTAGCTGTTTTGGTAGAGCTGAAAAATTGGTAGAAGACTTCACATGTTTTGCAAAGAAGAAATACTGGTAGCTGAACTACTGTCTAAAATGTAGCAGCATAGGAGACATCAATGTTTACAAAGATTGTTTTCGTTATTAATTTTAATTTGAAACAAGTGAAACAAAAGTTTCAAGACCCAATGTGTTTCTGGTTGGCACATTAATATCGATAAGTGATGTCTGTATGAGACTTTGTATCATAACAACCATAAACCAGTATCACTATACAATGCAGTACATTGTACATGTATGCACTATGCCCTATTGTCTTTCTTGTTTGTGTGTGATGTAATAAATTCTAGAAATAAATGAAAAAATAAATAAATAAAGAGTATATGCCAAACCTAATTTCCTAAATTTGTGAAGGAACAGGCAAATAAAGAAGGAGAAGGAACTTTGATGAAGTTAGGCGTGTTTCAGCCTGCACAACGGCTAACTTGAAATAATTATGGTATTAACAAAAGTACCTAGGATGTTGATACATTTCCTGAGCTTTTTTTTTTCAAAGTACAAGTAAATTTCCAAACCAATAAATAACTTAACCGCTACCTCATTGCCCTATCGATAGAAAATATTGTATCTGTAGGTATCTTTGTCTCCAAATTTTAAACCAGCATCAATCCAATTTTTGCGACCAGAACTCTGAAGTTCAATACCGTCGAAACAAAAAGTCGTATCGAATCTACTTTATATTTGTAACGAAGCGCCCATAAACTTTTGCATCAAAACGTGTTGTACAAAAAAACGTGTTTTATAGAAACAAATCTGTATCCAAGTAACCTGACCAACCCTTTCAAGACCTTCTTACCAGTAATGTTCAGGTCGAGAATAAAATTCTGACTGAGTTGTTTCTTGGCCGATAGTCCATAAATCCGTAGGATATCTGCGATCTTCGGCATGGGCGGAAGGCGAAGAGGTATGGGATTAGCAGACATTGTTTAAGCCTAAACGAAAATCGCAGAAAATATACTTCAACCTCGAATAATCATATCAATCTCATCTGTCCGCCATCTTGCTTTACTTGCGTTACCTATTTTAATGGGAAAGACCGCTGACAGAGTATTAGATTCCAGACTCTCTCGGTGTCCTTGGCGTTATCTTGGTCAGTAAAAAATTCATTTGAACGTTACCCGTAATATTACACGAACACTGCCGTCATTTTCCTGTAACATGTTGTGAGTTCAATCTTTGATCATGACAGTTTCAAATTTTCCTAGGAGCAAAAATATTTACATGAGTATCTCAGCAGCTGAGTATACCGGAACTGAGCTGAGCAAGCAAGGTGCCAATCACCCATCAGCCATCGTGACAGGTTTCAGCCTGGCCATGGGGAACCAACGCTCAGTTATTTGTAAACTGCAAATGGAAATTTAAAAATAGACAAAATCTTAACTGTTTTGTCCTATTCTTGAATCCGCTGAGGAAGTTGTTGTACGATGCAAAAACTATGCTCAAGTCGCCGCTTTAACCACAGGGTCCAGAGGAGATGTGTTTGTCGTTAGAACATCAAAACCCGTCCAAAACCTCTGAAAAATGGGTTATTTTGATCGCGTTACGGTTTCGTTACACATTCTATAGACCGCAAACCAAGAGACTGAGGGCTTGATTTTCAAAAGTCAATCTGGGTCAGATAAGAAGCGAAGAAATCGTTTATAGTAGATTTATAAAGATCCCATTGGGCTAATTAATCGTGCTCAGCGACAGGTATAGACATTTTTCAAGGTAAGTAATTCATTTATTCACACGAAACTCCTATGGGGTATGTGCCGCCCAACGGGGTCGTGATTTTGAAGCTCCTGATTTAGAACGGGGTGTCCATTTCAGAGGCGTTTTCTAGAACGGGGTATAAAAAATTGTGGATCATGGCTTTATCTTCTGCTTACAATTGTTGCTGATTATGAAGAAGCATTTATTTGATGTATAAGTCAAACAAATAAAGAAATATCTTTTAAAAAAAACAGGACTATTTCAATTTACAAACTTTCTAGAACGGGGTATAAAAAATTGGCCCATTTCTTGAACGGGGTTTCAGTTATAGGGCGAATTCTAGAACGGGGTATAAAAAATTGGCCCATTTCTAGAACGGGGTATCAATTTTAGGGGAATTTTTTTTTAGAACGGGGTGCCAATTTGGAGTCCCGGGCGGCACATACCCACCCAAAAAATACCCAAGTACCCCCCCCCCCCGGGTCTGGACCCTGTGCTTTAACCGTTGTTGATTTCACAATGCTTTATGTGGTTTGGCTCTCATTTCAGCTGTTGGTGTCACGCGCCGTTTGTTATTATCGTCTCGCGTTTCATTGTTGGTTATTAATTTATTAACAATTCGGCAGAGAGTATAAAGAGAAAACAGAGTTATTAAAAATAAACAACCAACGATGAAACGCGAGACGATATAAATAACAACTAGTGCGTGAGCGTGAGCGTGACCGCATATTAAAAGCATTGTGAAATCAACAACGGTTAAAGAGTCGACTTGAATATAGTCTTTGCATCGTAAAACAACTTCCATTTCACTTCGCACCACAGCAGATTCAAGAATAAAACTAAAAACGTAAAATTTCATCTCTTATTTAATTTCCATTTGCAGTGTACAAACAAGAGCGTGGGTTCCCCATGGCCTAGCAGAGACATTGCTGAGGGTCAAAATTACATGTACCCTGCATCATCATCATCATGACTATTAAAGTGTCAATATAGTATTTAGCCGAGGGTAAAAACCCTCCACCAATTGGGGACAGGTTTAGAATTTAAAGGCTAATCGGAGAGCTATGATCCGGCTTTTCTTCGCTGCACTTGCTAAAGGTGTTATTGTCTGCTTTTCTTTTTCTGTGTTAACATTGTATGTCAGTGAGCGATGTGTTAATTAGATCACTTAACTTCTGTGTTTTATTTATTTTTAGTTGCAATCTGCAAAGGTTTCTACTAGGTAATTGTGTTATTGATGTACTTGTCTTGCCTCGCCACGACTAGCTTTCCAGCTATTTGCGGGGCAAACCATTCAAGATCTGTATTTTTGTACAAAGAATAAAGTTGTTGTTGTTGCTGCTGCTATTCAGCCAGAACGCTGAACAATAATTCAACTCTCTATCGCTATTAAAAGCTCAGCCGAATATAAAATATATCCGGTTAGAAGTATGAACAGATAAAACAACACAATGACAAGTGCTGCGAAATTCACAAGGAGCGGCTTATAAAGTCGAATCAAGGGTCTAATGATCCCAATGGGAACTGAATTAAACAAAGTAATCAACAATTTAAAAGAATATACCGTTGATCTGGAACAGTAGCCTGGAGTAGCTCGGGAACCAACAGGAGAGAAGGAAAACACAATTTTCACGAGGTTAGCCGATTTTTTATTAGATCCCTTCACATAAATAGGATACAGAAAAAAATAGTTTCTTCCCCATACAAATCCTTTTAAGGATTATTTGTAAAGTTTAATAAATTTCGAAAGTTAATAGGCAACAATGCCGCGCCGATGCTTAGGCGACCCGTGGTTCGTTGGGGAGACATGGGAGGGTGGAGGGCGGGTGAGTAGATTAGGCGAGTGGATCGAGTGAACCCACTAAAAAATTCTTAAACTTCAGGACTGTCACAACCAGTTTCATCTTTTCACACTCGGTGAAAATGGAAGGGAGCGTGTTGTGGTTCAATTTGTTTCTTCAGCAAAATTATAATTCCCTTTCCCTTTCTATTTCTATTTCTATACTTGGCAAAGGTTGCCTACCGGGGTACGGTAATGTATGATAATCGGAGTTGAAACAAAGAGACAGAAGGAGCCAAGAACACAAAATAAACAATCTACACAAAAATGCAAAACAGCTCGTGATCTTGTGGAGTTTGCTGTGTCTTTAATTAGTTTAATGTTTCAATAAACAGCTGAATAAAAGACATATCTTTGATCATGCTTCTTATTACAACGTTGTTATTAACATTTTCTTCACCACCCATGGAACTAGCATCATCGATCCATTGTTAAACACAAACTCCATCCGAGAAGATGCTTTTAAATGACACTGAAAAATAACCGGAACCTTTATGGTCCGTTTAGTATATCACTGGTTCATCTCTGCTTTTGACAAAATGCAGATAACCTTGTGTCCGTATACAATATCAAGTGTAGTAGAATCATCCAAATTTCGTCGGCCATTCACAAACGTAGCTTGGTCTTAGGGTCATTCAACGACTTCTGTGTTTCCACTTGTGTTCATGCTTCATTTAGTTCTCGGTCCGTTTCGGCAATTTCTTTTCTTCTCGGTATTCTTTAGTTTCTCAGTGACCTTTCGCTCGTGTCCCCCAGGATTCGGTCGGTTTGTGTTTAATTTTGCTTCTCGTTTTGTTCTTCCCTTTCGAGAATTGCTAATGGACGTCGCCGCTTTGTCGAAATTGTAAACATCATATTCGTCAAAATATTCCATGTTCTTCCTTCAGTGCGGTACAAAACTGTTCCAACCCGAACGAAATAAGTTTGCTTGAGCGTAGAATATAACCAAGATGGCTGGCTGGTTTGTTGATGAGTTTTCGATTTGAATTATGACGTAATTAGCTTTATTAGCAAAACGCCATACAATTGGCTGTTTAGCAAAGTACACAAAAAATATCGGGCAAGGGAAATGTAAATGAAAAAAAATTCATGCACGCCAATTAACCCTAAAAAATATTCATGCTACGGCTTAAAAAAAAATCACACTAGGAATTTTATACCAAAAAAAAGATTCCTGCGGCTCAGAAAGTCCCCACTCCCCCATAACTTTTCTAATGGTCCATTCCTTAGTTTTCCGAGTGATAATCTCGTTTCGCTTCGGTGGTAAATGAAGGGCGCGATCCATTCAACCAAACTTTCCGGAAATTTCGGTCCAAAACTCAATGGATCGGTTCGGTCCAACCGGAAAAGTTTCGAAAAACGGGTCCACCTTTTGAGGTGGTCCTCTTTTCCCCGTCGGACCGGTTGGAATTTTGGTTGAATGGATCGCGCCCAAAATCACTGAAATCAGTACCGAAGGGAGAAGAGATAGGAGCTAGGGACGTTTTGCTTAACCCAGAAGACAAAAAAAGGTTTGACGATGAATTTTGATAGATTGAAGCACCTAGCCTGAATTTCATCCGATTACTTCGAAACGTTATTGCTCCCTCAGTAACGACGTTGTTGAGAGGAGAAAACGACTCGAAGCAATCGGATGAATTTCAGGCTATGAAGCATCCTCTTGGTATACGATTTGGGTTACTAACATGAAAGTGAGGCTGAAAGTTGAAACCAAGTAAATTCAAATGAACACACTCCGCAAGAAAACCAACTTACTCATATATCTCCTTAGACTGCTCCAAGATACATTTAACAAAATTATCACCGTTTTGATAGGGAGCGATATGATAAATACAGTTCTCTCGTGAGATGTGTCAAAGTATCTTTGTTCAACGGGTGATGCAATCTTCAAAGGTTTTTTAGGGATTATGCCGAGAGTTTTTCGTGTTTAGCGATCCATTTCAGACAAAAGGAACTTATTTTTTTCAAATTCATCTATTTGTTAACGCAAAATTCCAGGGCTAAACTGATACCGTAAAATTCCGAAAATAAGCCCCTCCTTGTATAAGCCCTTCCAAATATAAGCCCCCCAAACTCGTAACACATCATGAGACCCTCCGTTACATCGCCCCTCCGAAAATAGGCCCCCTGGGGGGCTTGTACTTGTAAGTTGCCCTCAAATACAAAGTAAAACAAAACAAAAACGGTAAATTTCCAACTATAAGGTTAGCCCAATCGATTTTGAAACGCAAATTTCCCTCCGTAAATAAGCCCCGCCTCCAAAAATAAGTCCCTCAAAAAGGGCCTTTGAAAAAATAAGCCCCAGGGCATATTTTCCGTATTTTACGGTATCAGGAGCCCATAGCCCATAATGGGCTCCTGACGGTATTTTGTGTTTTCACTCACGCGGCCAGCATCTATGCAAATTTATTGGAACAAAAGAAAGCGTTTACATAAGAAAAGAGTTCAACTCCCACAGGACTGGTTTGGGACACAAAC